ACATTTTTCGATCTTTTTCGTCGCGCTGTGATGACGTCAAAGGCGCGATTTTGTCGATCGCGCTTTTGCCGTCTGCACTTTTGCCGGGTCACAAATGTATCAGCTAATACAGTGATGGCTAAACTTTTTGTTGTCACGTGCTGAAAGCGCGCGGACCCATAATGCAATACATACATGACACCTCTACCTACCACATTGTCCTGCACATGCGCATGGGGCTGCCCTCAACCTGTTTTGGGCCTAGTAGGCCTTCCTGCAGCCTCCTGGGAGCAAAAATGGGCTGCGAGGGGTGCACTGCCCCCCCGCCTTTCCCCCAAACCCCATGCATGTGTGTGTGTGATCCCCCTCATGCATGTGTGTGCACTTCCCGCATGGGCTCTGCCCCCCCATGTATGCGCAGCAGAGACTCAAAAATCAGCTGGCCAGCGGGAGGAGCACACACATGCTTGGTGGACCTGAGCTGGGGTGATGGCTTGCGTGCCTGTCATAGGTTTGCCATCATATATATTTGCTAATATATTTTTTTTCGTAGTGGGAACACACATATTCCTAGCAATTATCTGGATCTGCCCATGTCTTAGGAACCCTGTTTCTGTCTTAAAATCCCTAAGGAACAGCTTCATCAGCAGCTGGAATAAGCGAAAGAACATAAAAAGACATCCATGCATATCTCCACTCCTTTATCACATTTCTTTCCTTAAGAAAAAGCTGTAATATCTCGGACCAATTTCAGAAGTGTTTAAACGGATAGGCCTTTTTGAGTCTGCCAGCTTTATGAAAGGGTTAATACAGAGGAAGAAAACCAGAATCAAATTAGTCCAGCAATTTAGTAGGAGCACAGGGAATAAGCTGCCGTCAATAAGAGTCATCAGTGAGCATTTTAATTGTTTCAAGGATATCTACATGGGCTCAAATGGGAATCCTTTGAAATCAAAAAAGTTTGACACTTTGCAGTGAGCCAACTTTCCATGCACTAATTGTTTAATCTAAATAATTTCTGGGGAGAAAAAAACAGGAGGAAATAGCACTTGCCAGTTACTCTTGCTGTAAAATTATCTACCGATACAAAAAAATAAATAAAAAGACCAATGGGAACTAGGTTATAGTAAGCACCATGATATCCCATCCATGATACCCAGAGCTCTACATGGGGCAGCTTGTCATGAAGAGGCACATGTAGTTTTGCTCCAGGCTTCACCAATTTCATATTAAAGAGGGAGATTGATTTGCTCAAGGTTGCCCATGTAGGCGTAGAGAGCCCTAAATACATTATGTTATCTTATGAATAGATTATCGGTGCCCTTTCCATTTTTCAAGGACATCTGTTCATTTTTAGAAGCGCATTGTAGAGAGCCAATTTGAATAACGTACACGAGGCATCTAAAACCACATAAAACCTCTTAATTTATAAGACATGTAGGCAATTCTGAACTCTGGCATTCTACTCACCAAGTAGATGGCAATTCCACCGCCAATTAAAAAACCACAATAAACATCCACTGGGTGGTTTTTGTACTGGGTGATGCGTGTCAGGCCACATATAATTCCGCAGATGATAAAAGCAAAGACTAGAAGTGGTTTCAGAAGTTTAGAGGAGTCGGTTAGCGTAGAATTGAAGTACATCTTTAAAAGAAATACATTTTTTAAAAAGTTTAGTGACATTTTCCCATGGAATGGTACTCTTTCTTTTCCTGTTTTTTTTTTTTTGAAGGAAGGTAACAAAGGAAAACCAACAAAAATCTGTTGGGTTGTTTTGAAAGAAGTAAAAAAAAATAAGTTGATATGTTGTGAGATAAGAGTCAAGGATTTTCTCCTTGCTATTTGGAATTTGGGAGAAAAATGCAACGTGCCAACCATGACTTGGAGTGATTATAACAGGGATGGGAATTGTAAGAATTGTCTTATTGCTAGTTTACAAATTTAATTAAAACGAATAGCAATAGCATTCCGCTTCATAGTGCTTTTACAGCCCCCTCTAAGCGGTTTACAGAGTCAGTATATTGCCCCCAACAATCTGGGTCCTCATTTTACCCATCTCGGAAGGATGGAAGGTTGAATCAACCTTGAGCTTGGTGAGATTCGATCTGCAAAATTGCAGGCAGCCGGTGATTAGCGAAAGTAGCCTGCAGTACTGTACTCTAACCACTGNTGGCAGTGATCAGAGTGAAGTGCTAGCTAACCAACGATGAACTGAAAAAAAGAAAAACGTAAGCCATGAAGCAAACTGAGAACCCTGTTCAAAATGAAGAATTTGAATTAGTGCCGTAAGAGATCCCTATCTTCAAAAAAAAAAAAAAAATCACAATATTTAAATTAATCCCAAGCTATCTGGTTAAAAAGCAGCATCTATTCTCTATAGCACCTGCAACGGAATAAAGTTTGGAGAAAAAGCAAAACTAAACTAACTCAAGAGGAAAAAGAATTATTCAATTTTCAATGAATATCACCTATTGTTTCTAGTTTTTTGTTGTCGGTTTTTTTTTTGGCTCAAGAAAAATCTTTCAAAGAACTACACAAAACTTTTGCAATCATTTGAGATGAAAACTGCACGATAGCAAAGCTGTATTGATTCTTGATACTTTTCTATTCTAAATGAATGCAGTTAGCATGGTGTTTTCAGCTAGGATACTCGGAAAAAACTCGCACATCAAAATGTATTGTGTTTAGAGAGCTGCACAGGAGTTAGAAGTTTTCTAAAAATGTAAAGTTAGAATCAGCACCGTTTGGTATTAAATTTTGGTGCAAAACCCGCAAAGATTTAGTACAACTCTGGTACAGCTTTTGCTTATTTTTTTTTTAAAAAAAATTGCTTCCCTTTGATCATGAAATAGATAAGTTGAAAAGTTGGCACATTCAGGAAATAAGCGGTCTAGATTTAAGACCGCTCTTTTGGCTGACACAGATCCTACTGGAAAAACATTTTGATTCTGAAAACAAAAGCTTGCTCCCCTTCACTAGGTTCTTGCATTGTGCTTTTTTTCCCCCCGCGACATGAAATTCACAAATTCATGCACAATCACTACACATCAGCAACATCCATAAACAGTCAGGCTGATGGTCAATAGTTGGCACATCAAGAATATTTCGGCATCAGCTCTAAAAATGAAGAGAGTGCAACGCTTGCACCCAAACAGTATTGATTTTAGTGGTATCTGTTGTTTTTGGCCGAAGCACCAGCCCTCATTCTTTGTAAGCTCTTGTTGGAGATGTTCCTTTGTAGAAGATATTCCTGGTATTCTCCGGACTGCTGCCTCTTTCGGGTATTAAAATGATGTTACCTTTTCTCCGAAGTGTCGAGTCACGGCTAGAGGAAATGGACAGGGTCTCTGAGCCGATCTCGCTGCCTTCTACAGGGGTGACTCTGATTGTGGTGATCCCGTGATGGTGATGGTCGCTGCCCTCGATGTTGCTTCTTTTCCGATCCCCAGAAATGTAACTGTCTTTCAAAGATTCGCAGCTCTCGGAGTCTCTGTTGAGATCGTTGAGCTCATACGTTTGGCGTAGGCTTCCTTTCTCCGGAGCTTTCCATTTCCAGGAGCCACTGCCTTCTCCTTCGGACGGCATTTGGATGATGGGGCGGCTATTCTCAGGATGGGCCTCTACCCTTACAATGCTGCTCGGTTCGTGATCTGTCAAGGTTTTGTAGCGGATCGATCCCGTACAGGTGACTGTACCGCCATCAGAGCCCTTTGGGCTGCCCTGAAGGACTCCTTGTTGCTTTGACATGGCTATGACCTGCATGATCCTTGGCTGGCTATTGCTTCTGCACCCAACGCTCTTCTCGGCAGCTTTTAACCACTTCGCTCGAGCAGAATTCGTTTTGGGAGACATATTGACATTTTCCTGGGTCTCTTCAGGGATGTGCACGAGCTGGGAAGATCCTGGACGTGACTGAATGGAAACTCTCGGTCCCCCAGATAGGCCAACACTGTTGCATCCTGGCATGCTACCGGGCTGGATTTTCAGGTACTGATTGCTTGGACCATGGTGATCTCCATTAACGCCCACTCTAGATGGCTCAGAGCTTGACCTCATTTCAATGGCCCTCGGCGGCGACTGTCCAGAATCGGTTTCAATCACCTGCAGGGACAGCTTCCGACTTTCGTTCTTGTTCTTCCATTGAGAGAGGATTTGTTTCGAGCGGGCGGAATCCATGGAGGCATGTATGGACACGTTCCGCCGAGCTGATTCGTCAACCGCGGGTGTGTTGACCCTTGGCAAGGTGTTGCTGAATGTGACCATGTTTTCCTTTCCCATCGGACTTCGCGGCATTATAATCTCTACGTCGGCATTCGCTCTCTTAAGGTTCGTCAAGGAGCCAGTGTCTCTGTGGTTCCTGTTCAACATGTTCTCCACGTGATGAGTGGCGATCACATCGTTTCCACTACCGTTTTTCCCTGGTAAAATTCGATTGGGGTCTTGGCTTAGGTCAGGCAAAGGTTTCAATGGCTCTCTATGTACGTTATGATTGAACGTGTTGTCTTCACTTGGCAGAAAGTTCCCCACAGCATACAGACCCTGGTATTTGAAGGGGGGAAAACAGAACCCTTTTATGGAAAAGTAAATCTTTATAAACACTTCAGCAAAGGATAGTTAAATTTCTCAAGTGTTGTAGGTATGGAATGAACTCTTAAAACTGCTAATGTATCGGTTCCACCACAAAAGCGCGTAGGACAAAATCGCGCTCGACAAAAGCGCGCTGTGACGGTCATCAGAGCGCGACGAAAAACTTTGAAAAATGTAAAAATAAAGCGAAAACCTTACCCTAAGCCCCCCAAACCTAACCCTAAACCTAACCCTAAACCTAACTCTTAACCTAACCCTAAACCTAACCCTAACC